AACCTGGATGATTCCACAAGGTGGTCACTTAAAAAGTGATTCACAGCATTTTCTAAATACTAATATATTATATATATATCTATAGTATAATACTAACCATATATATATATATATATATATATATATATATATATAATAAAGACCTTTCTTTTGAAACCCTATCCAAAGTGCCTCCTCATCACTACTCATACCTTGGATTTCTCCTCATCCTCAAAGATGATGTTTTTGGCTCTGGGTGCTGGGGGTGGGAGGGGTTTGTCCTCAGGAAGTGCAGGATCTACCTTCACAATGCCTGGAAGAGAAACACGGACCCTCTTAACCTCACATGTAAACAGCTCAGAGGGGTCTGTGTCACCTGGTACTCAACTGCTGTCCATGATGTAAGCCTTTAAGCAATAATGATGCCATAACATTGTTCTCCACACCTCTTGAAGATCAGGCTACAAATTACATTGAGGATTGTTTTCACATTTCTTTTTAAGTCCCTGAATGGTTGCGCATCTTCATACCTCTCCAACTGCTTATCTGAGCATGTTTGAAACCATTCCTTAAGGTCGTCCAGTGTTAAAAAAAGTATTATTAAGGCTGTTCTTATGCACAAAATGTTTAGAAAATGCTCCCCAAAATCTGTCGATAGCTAAAGGAGTCCAAACATTGCACTTTCTTGAAATATCATTGTTAATATATGATGTTATTTTATGTTTTTCATGATTGCTTTGTATTTTTTTATATCCTATTTTCTTAATAGCCAAGCTAATGATGTGATTCTCTTGTAAAACACTTTGAGCTGCATGTGTTGTGAAAGGGGCTGAATGAATAACGTTTATTTATACGATTATTTTTATAAATAAGCAATTAACAAGAAAGTCAGTTGCTTTCTGTCAAAATGCAAATATATGGTGCATTCACACCCTACATAAGTATGAATTACACCGTAGTAACTTAGAGTATAGTTGAATAATTCTCCTGTTTGTTACACTCAATGCAACTTAGCATGACTAAGGCAGTAGTCCCATGCATGTGGGTCACCGCCACACAAAGGAGAACTGATACTTCCTTGTACAAACTACCATTTGTAGGAAAATATTGGTAACCAAAAAAACACATTATCAGTTCAAATGGAAACTAATAAAAGCATTGATAAAGCCTTGAGGTGGGAACCTATTAAAAAAACAGACTAAATGTACAGTGAAGAGAATGAGAAACCTGAAGATAAAGAACCGTGTCCTTTATCTTGATGGCTTCTCATTGTCTTGTTGTTGCACTCACCCTGTTTTTTCAGCATCTGATAGGCGTCTGCTATCTTCGTCTCATGAGGCATCTTCACTGTCCAGCTGAACATTATTTCTATCACCTTATTCTTCACTGGCTCTGGAGCCCGGGTTCCCAAATACTGCAGAGAAGCAGGGAATAATGCAAGGTTAGAGTCAAATGTGTTTTTTCCTTTATTCTTCCATTACAGTGTCCTAATGATCTTAGATGTACAGTTGCAGACATATAAGCATAGCAGTATAAATAACAGGGATCATTACCTTTGGTGAAACCACTTTGATGAGCTCATTGAGAAAGCGAAACTTTCCCACTTCAATGTGAAATCGCTTCCCACAGCTCTTCATGCACGTCTCCAGAACCTGGGAACATTTTAGAGTTTGTTTGTTTTAAATAAAAAAAAACGGAAAAGCCTTCCAAAAAAGTGGCTTCTAATGTTACTTTACTGCTCAAGACCTTTATACTTCATATCTTACCAGAAGCGCTTGCATAGCCTCCCATTCCTGAGGAGACTGGACTTTGTGGGCCAGGAGTCTGGTTGCAACCTGGGGACTGATACAAAACAAAATGTACACTTATACCTGTATAAAATACTGCAAGGCAACACATTGAATGTTCCACAAAATCACTCTGTACAAATATGCATAGATGATATCACCAAATGTATGAATTATCATGTGATTTATAAGATGTTTTTCTACAGAGCTGCAAAACTGGAATAAACTCAGTTATTATAGTTTCAAACAACAGCTGGAATATTGCTTGATTCTGCATTTTGCATATTACTCTGGTGTTATATACTCATCCTCAACATCATCATCATCATCATCATCATCTCACCCTTCTGGATCATTGTTGAGCTGATCACAAAATCCCTTGATAATGTCCCAGTCAGTGTCCTTATTCAAAGGGTTGGTGGCCTTGTCTATGTGAAAGGAACACATTAGGCTCTGCATCAGCTGTATATACAAACTTTAAAACTGCTGCATGTGGTTGCGTTTTCTTTAACAACAAAAAATATGACAAAACACGAGTTTACTTACTTTCCATATGTGTGATTGCTCTGCATAGATGTGTGAAGTCTGTCAAACCTGGGTACTAACCTTTTGCAGGTAGTACTGTAGTTATTCAGTTTATTAAGAAGCAAAGTTTGATCTTATCAGAAGCCTGTGATAACCATCAGCTGATGTTGGTTGTGTGCAAACTATCAGTTCTCTGGTTGTAACAGGAGTTTTGTGATTGCATAAAATGGATAACTGGGGAACTGAATAAGTATGGTTCCTGGTTCTATGGTTCGTTCAAGTGGCTTGTTTGATCTTTGGTTGGCTGCTACCTAGCTTGTTGAGTTCGTTAGCATTAAGCTTGCCATGTTTGAGCAGGCTCCCCAAATTCAAGCTGTCAGCAGGTAACACAATCTGAGTCCAAAACGTTCATTACAGAAACGGTGAATCATTATCTGGCGGAGTTTGTTCCTTCTCGAGAACTGCACTTTTTGATTTAATGACATTCGCTCTCTTGGCTTTATATCTTCCCTCGGGAAAATGCTATGGCTGACCGCCGCACATTTAAAATGAGATTATGTCTCTGTGCTTTTTAACAGCGTATCGTCTATCACTGTCCTTTCAAAAGAGAAACTGATATGGTATAGTATATTGACTTACTGATGCGAGACTGCAGGGTGGCCTCATCCGGAGGCGCCGCCGCCATCTTTCGGGAATTCTAAACAAGTGGCAACTATCGCGTGATTTTGTAACATATCGCGAGGCTAGCCTTAGTCAGTACGTCTCTTTAGCCCCCCCTCTTGGGCGGGAAAAGAAACATCAACGTGACACTGCAGGGTGGCAGCCAACGCTTCAATCAATGCAGCTACAATGGCTTGGGCTGCCAGCATTGATCAACATTAATGGGGCGGGATGTATTTCTTACAGTGTGATTTAATTGTGTTGCTGCAAAGTGGGCGTCGGAAGCGGTCTCCAGTAGCGAGTGCAGTTGCTAACAGACTTTTCTATGCAGCGTTTTAACAGCCAGTCACTGCACCAACAAACAAAACCATGCTGCTGTCCACCTCAATGAGGAAACTGTTCCCTTTGCTTCGCTGAGCCATCATCGCCCGAAACTGTCACGGTCAACGGACAACCAGTGCCAGCGCCCATTGAAGAGAGGCAAACCTGCAAACTGCTGTCAGGAGCTAACTGCAGGCTAACGCCCCTTAGCTAGCTAGCAAGCTGAGTTCAATACTTGAAGAACTTTGTTGGCAAGCTACCGTCATCATCTCTGGATATTAGCCGTGTCTTTAACCCTTTGTTTCTGGTCAAAGTATCTCTTTAGACGGAGTCGTTGCTGACTAAATAAATCTGTACATGAGATACACTGGGGCGTAATGTAGCCTATTGTGTGTTTTTGTAAAAGTTAAGTAACACCTTGCTAGCTTGCCAGCCACGCTAGTTTTTCTTAACGTGACTCACTGGCTGGTAATGAATGCACCGTATCTTTACCTCGGGTGTTGTCTGGCCCCTTCACTGACACGCTGCTGATGACTCGTTTATGACCAGGCAGAAAGACTTTGTGTCGTCTCCCGTTAAGCTTGTGACAGAGAAACGTGATTTTATTGACAGACTACTTGGATACCTACAGTACCATGGGGTCTCTGAAGGCTCTCCAGGAGTGGTGTCGGATACAGTGTGAACATTACAACGATGTGGAAGTAAAGGACATGTCAACGTCCTTTCGGAACGGATTGGCGTTTTGTGCCATCATTCATCGTTACAGACCAGAATTAATGTGAGTAACCCGGAGTCTAACGACCCAACATTAATAGTATCTTGCATTATTAACCAATATGTAATTATACATGAGATTACAGTAGTTCAAGTTAACGGTATACGGTGGAAGTTGGACGCATCTTTTTGAGGAGTGACATGCTGAATGCTGTTTTCAAATGGTTTTAAAGTACTTTAATACGCAGCACTTTGACTCGAGCAAAAATCGTTTAAAAATGTGCTATATAAATAAAACTTGATTTGATTATGTTCATCCTTTTAGGATACAAATGAAAAACCAAATCAGTAGCCGGATCGTGAACTCATCTATGCTCCTGTTTAATCCATTAATAAAAAAATTAAAAGACTGGGATTATGTGAGACTAGTCTGTTTGTTTTTGTATACCTTTTTTGTAGAACGCTGACTACCTTTAAAACACTGATAACTGATTGAATAACTCTAGTGGTAAGATCCTTTGCCATTTATGTCACATTCGTATCAACAATGTATGTTTTTGTATTGTATTCTCAGGTTTCAGGATTTTTTGCCAAAAACCTCCTAACATTCTTTTTTTCTCTCCAACATTTAAAGTGGGAGGCCACTGTTCTGTTATTAACTCAGGCTGACAAACTATGCCCTGTCTGTAACAACACACCCCTCCTCTCAGGATTTACACCTACACACACATTACAGAAGCTCCCACAAAACAAAACAACAGTATCAGTGTGACAAACCTATTTATTATAGAGATGAGGAAATCCCTTTGTTACGGCACAGACACCAAAAGGCAGTATTTTGTATTTGGTGAGAAATAGCCTTTCAATACTTACATCTTAAGAATATGAGGGCCATCATGTGTTGGTACAACACATATTTTCACTTTAAACTGATATAAGACAGACAAATTAAAAAAAATGTGGATATTTTAGAGGCAAACAAAAAATTCTCTTCAATTGTATGCATTAAAAATCCCTTAAATGATTATCATAATAGTTTTTGAACATGTTTCTATTGATTTAGCTCAACTCTTGATCTTTTGTTTCAAGGCAGGTACATTTTTCAGTTCTGAAAAGTTTCTATTAGTTGCAGCGTGTCAGTAAATATAATCGGAAACTCTGCCCTTCATATGACTCGCATTGGACATGCATCTCTGTGAAGAAGCAGCAGTGTAGCATAACGTGGCTTTATTGGGAATGCACACTCTAGGCAGCATCAGATAAGTGTTTGGACTCCTTCTGAGATATGTTGTAGGAGGCTTTTGTATAAGTAGCCAGTAAATGGAGGGGAACATTTGATGATGGAGTAATTTTAGAAAAAAGCATCTTGCCCATGCTGCTAACCTCTCAGGTGGTCCAGGCTTTTTGTAAGTAAATTGGACTATGCCTGAACGATGGCAAACATTCACTTGAGGACAAGTCAGTGAGGTGGAATTTCTCTGCAGTAGAGCTGAAAATAAACGCTTGGACAAATCCTAAAAACCCAGCTTTGGAGCGCTGCCGCTTCAATTTGTGTCCCAGCATGCCTCCCTCTCCAGCCCTCGGTGTAGCTGCAGCACCCCAACTGAACTCGCTGTAATCCAGACAGACAGTCCGTCGGGCTAATCTGCAGCTGAGACCTCCGCCTGTCAAACTGGATTTAGCTCTAATGGCTGGGCCTGGCCTCCGTAGAGCTGCCCTGCACTCTGCAGCCAATGTATTCTCATCAGAGTACACCGCACTGATGCCGAGGGGGAACGTTAGTACAGTTAATGGCCTCATCTCAGTTTCAGCCCCACACCGACTGTCACTCAGCTTTTCTGGAAAGGGGAGTAGATAAGGATGGCGAGATGAAGCTTTGAAGCTTTCCAGCCAATTGGTTCGCAAAAGGGTTCATCTCACGAAGCTTCATCATGGGCTTCACCTGAACACAAACCTGTTGGTCAAAGTGTGTAAAACAGGCAGATTTGACATCTCAATAGTGTGCTGTATCTCATACCGAGTTCCCAATGAGTAAAGCCTTAGAATAACTCTAAACAATGAACATAAAATCATATTTTCATGTTAACAATATTTCCAGTTGATTGTGAATGAAAAGCCTAAGGAGGCTGGTAAACATTGCAAAGAGGGATTTGTATTCCTTAATAATACTCGTAAACTTAACCATGTTGTAGCCTGAGAAAGGCTAAACCATATCAAAGAATACATTTATTAACTACATTATCACATTTAGCTGTAGCGTTTATAAACAAACAAAAAGACGTATCGACCAGGCATTGAACCAGGGACCCTACGGTCGTGAGTCAACTGCTTTCCAGCTGAGCACACAAGCTGAATCTCCCTGAAAACACTGCATACTATTTATTCCTACATTTATTTATGCTTTTATTCATTTATACTTATGACATGTTCCGACCTCTATATAAGTGAGGGTCTGAGCTCTCTCAATTCCATCGTGTCACTGGGCCCGCGTACAGGAAGGGTAATATGGTTCTTATTATACACCCATGGTTGCGACTTTCTCCTCTTACGTTGCGGATGTTGTTTATTCACCTCATATGAAGGGACGGGGCTTCTTCGTTTTATTTTCGTTGTATTCTGTAACCTCATTCCCATCTGCAGCTCCCGCTCCCGCCCAACAACAGCCATGTTAAAGAGAATGATCCTGTCGCCGTTTCCCAGACGCACCTCTTCCTCCGTACCTTGTTAAATTTCCAGTTCTAATGTTAAACTCTATTCCCCATACGTCCATCACCATTCAATAAATCAGACGTTGTTGACGTCTTAGTATCATACAGGAAAATGTAGTCTAATGAAGTCTTTTGTTTCGGTACGACTATTCCTGTCATGTCATAACTAACAATTTGTAAATGACAATACTTGGAAAAAATTTTCGGTATGACGAAACTGTCGTACTAATGAACTTACATTCGTCAATTCAGGATTGATGGCTCTCATGTTAACTTAGGCGTTTGGGCGTAATTACTACGTTTTAAACTTTTTTCACGTCCATGTTTTTCTCTGAGGGGTGGTTTCCCTCACTACCGGCTATTAATGTTCCGAAGACGAAACTTCTACGGAGTCCGGTCTTCCTTGGTGTCTACGGACATTTGTAGGACGTCATTTTAGACCTGTACAGACTCCCAAGCCCTACTTTCACACGTATCATTTACATACATTGTCATCCTTTTGTCAACCGCGCTTTTTTGTGGAACTGGGACCACTCTCTCGAACACCTTCAGGTTCTTCCTTTTTGCGGACACCTTACTACGAGGCGACAAACTCGGCGTGTTTCACCTGAGAGACAAGAGAGATTTAGAGTCAAGGGTACCAGTGTTCGTCGTCGAGCATGTAAGTTAGTGGTGCACAGTGTTGCTGACCTAATGATAAAGTTAGATGGTTGCGCATAGGTCTTCCTCGACGTCGGTCTTCACAAATTTTTTGAAACTTACGCACTGTGAACGTCTTGTCTGCCACCGTCGGTGCACGTACTCATCCACGTCCACACTTAGAGCTTAACGTTTGTAATCAGGTCAGAGCGAGGTTCAAATAAACCCTTCTCCTTACGTGTCCTCACCTACCAACACACACATACACACACACACCCAATGCATTCGAAAATTCTAGTATGCAGTTTTGCCCCCCTAACTGTTCTTATAGTGTAAACCATCACTAACAGCTACAGCCACTTTAGTTTTTACCTCGAATAGTTATGCTCTTATAAGCATCAAAACCAGTAGACTCCGCTCCCCTGTTTTGTACGTAATGACCTCATTTTAGGTTGTTGCCTCTCTTTTCATCTTCTGATTTACTACTGCAAAATCACAAAAGTTGACGTCGTAATACTTCTGTTAAATTAATTTTACGTTAAGACTGGAGTGACGGTACGTGAAACCAATTGACTGGTTCTAATAAAGAGCGAAGTACAGATGAGGATCACTACAATGCATATCGAGCGGCACGAAGCCTCGCACACAACTATTAAGGGGCTTCGAAAAACACTTCGATACATAGCTCCGAGACATAGCAAAACCCGGTCACTACAGTAGCTACTGTTGCTTCGGCAGCGAGCGGACAGCTATGGTAGCACTGGACGAGTGCCTTCCTAAGTCTAGCAACTTGGTGTTNGCTCGCCTCTCTCCAGTCATTTAAGCTAAAGTGGGTTATTGAACCTGAAGCTTGTTGCTTCTGCCCTCCTCGACTACGGTCTGGGAGCCGACAGGAAAGTTCAACACACAGATGGCCAGTCCGCCCCTTTGTAGCATATTATTTCGATGAGAGATGAGCAGATCGCCACTGGGCTTTCAACTAAATACACAGCCACGCAAAAACTGCGGCATTTGTACAGCTCCTTATGGGTAGGCCTACTGCAATTTGTGAAGTGCTTTCCTCCGTGGTGAAACGATCAACACTACGGGGCTGCGTTGCGTGCATGGGTTCCTTCTGCAGGTAACGGGGAGACGCGCTCTGGCGGCGGTCTCGTTCAGGATCCGAAAATACAATTTTAATATTTTGCACACTTATTCCACTTATTCCTAGTGTGCCACTGGTTACGGTGCCCAGGGGTTGCCGACCCCTGGTCTATAGAAATGCCAGGTAGAAACGGAAGGACTTTAAATCACACACCCATGTACAAACCTCTCTGTGGGGACGTGGTGAGACCGTCCTTGGACACGTCCTCTCCCTTCACCAGCTGTCTGTACAGGTTGATGACCTGCGTCAGGCTGTCATTGGCCTGTAATATTTCAGCTGAAAGCAAAAATAAATGTAAAGTGGCTTTTTTTTTATCAAAACCTTTAATAAATCATAGTCATACATTTGTAAGAATTTAAATTAAAGTCTGATTTTCAAATGTTTGAATTGCAAAATCTAAGCTTAGTATTTCTTGTATTCTTGCCAAAATTAATCTGTTTGAACTAACCACATCCAGTAACACTTGTATTTCCTGTGCCCTTCAGCATACATACATACATACAACTCCTACCTTTTCCAATATTGGCAGAAATATTGAATGATGATCAACAGTGTCTGAAATAAAGGCTTATTTTCAACAGAGCTCAGAAACCGTACCTAGTGCTTCGTCACTGTCCTCTGTATCACTTGCTAACCGGAAAAGTGTCGGCCTCATCTTTTCACAGCGCTGGTAAAGATCCTGCAAATACACACGTGTTAAAAACAGTGAAACAGCAGCTGTGGTGCAGGCCGTTTCTGCAGACAGTTTCAAATGTGCTGAGCTGCACTAACCTTAATGAGCTCCTGGTTGCTATGGGAGCAGCTCTCCCTGCTGTAGCCCTCCAGCATCTGGCTCAGCAGGCTCACACTCTCCTTCACCTCCTGGATGGCGTTCAGTCGCTTTGATACCTTCTCCACGCGCTTTTGGTCCTGGAAACAGAACACAAGGATCTCAAAAGGGGCGTAATTATGACAAAGGATGACATCTGATGTATCATATATGTAAATGAAAGGCTAAACTACAGTTTAAGACTATTCTTTATCATGACAAATATCATGTGATGGTTAGCTGGGTTGACATTGTTAACATTTGACAAGGGGCCACATTATAATTTTGGGGTTTTCCCTTTCCTAAAGTTACATCCAGAGAAAGTTTCTCTGCTGAAGCACAGGCAGTATGAGGACAATAAATACCTTTTGGAACATTAAACAGGGTTCATACACTTTTTCATCAATGATTTTCAATGACTTGTCCATGACCTTTACCTAATTTTCCATGACTTCTCCATGACCTTTACCTAATTTTCCATGACCAACACAATTACTCTCTCAGCGGTGCCACTGAAAATGGTTCATTTTAACATGGAACAGGAAAACAAGGTCTGCATATGAAACATGTTGTGCCTATCTAAAACAAATCAAATAGTAGGCTTACTAGCTTCTAGCTAAAGCAACTCAAATCTCTCACCAGCAAAATACCTCGTCAGTTAAATGCCATTTGATTTTACGTTTCATTAGTATCAGTATTTATTATCATTACAGTATTACTATTTCGGCGATTAGCTAAAATATAAATTATATTTGATGCAACTTTAGTTACATTTCCGTGACTTTTCCAAAACCTTGGGAAAAATATTGTTTTCTACTTTTCCAGGGCCTGGAATTACCATTTTGAATTTCCATGACTTTTCCATGTTTTTAATGACTGTAAGAACCCTGATTAAAGCATATATAAATGACAGAGTAGAGGCACTAAATACAAATATGAACCTGAAATGTGCATAAAGGGAGCCCTTTAAATTAGTTTATATATTTTAAACTTTAAATATATAGTATCTTTCATTTAATGAATCAGAATTTCAAATCATAATGATGATAACTTTTGTAAAAATAAATTATCCTTTCTATATTTTATTACATTTTGGTAAGAGGTGTTAAAAATAATTAGAGTTTTAAGATTCAATTCCTTTAACAATCTCTAGCTGTAACTAAACCTGATGTTTGATTATACCAATATCAAGACCATGATTATAATTAGATATTAAGCGTTACACATTTGTCGAAATTTGAATGCATCACTCACACTTAAAAAGGACCCATGTCATGGCCATCTCTACTGATCATAATTCCATTGTTGAGGTCTACTAAAATAGATTTATATTGTGCAATTTTCCAAACTCACATTGGTTTCTCATACAGCATCTCTGTATAGTATATGTATTCACTCTCTGTCCTAAACGGCTTGTTGGAGCTCCTGCCCCCCCCTCCCTGTGAGCCCAGTGGCCGTCTGCGAGACAGCGAGACACAGCGAAACCCAGCCCGAAACACACCCGCAGCCTGGCTGGGAGTTTGTGTGTGTGCCCAGGCTGAGTTCTGCAGTGTCTCTCTGTCTCGCCTACCCCACAACAGTAAGCCAGCTCACAGTGTCCCACTCCTCGTAGCAGCGAGCCTCGCAACGTCCCGCCGAGTGTGTGTGTGAGGAAGTCCGTAACGCAACGGGAAAACTCCAACGAGGCGTTCTGGGGCAGCATAGACAGGTCTTTTCTGTGTTAGAGTTGTACTCGCTACAGGGTGTACTTTGAGGGTTTGTGACTTTGCAGACCGTTTACATGCAGAAAAAGCTACATAACACACAAGGGGACGGGTAATAACCAGAAAAGCATGACATGGGACCTTTAAGTATTAAGCACTATGACAATTTTTTTTTGAAAAGACCTTAGGACCAATATTTGCATGCATTAATGTGATCAGGCTACATAACTGGGTGGGTCTTTTGTTAAATTGGTGGAAAAGCCGAGACGCACATGCATGTGGGCCCACGTACAGCACACCATGAGCTATGACTCACCTCCTGGACCATTTCCTTAATGAGCTTGTTTGCCGCTCTTAGATCTTCTGGTTGAGTGCTGTTCAACAAGAGAGTCAGCGTCTACACAAACAGGAAAGAGGAGGGAGAGGAAAGAAAGAGGAAGAGGACTTTGTAAACCCTGGATGATTCCACAAGGTGGTCACTTTAAAAAGTGATTCAACAGCATTTTTCTAATATATATATATATATATATATATGGTTCTCCCACCTCTTTGTTACAATACCGTAGTAATAAGCGAATTTCCGAATGTAGTACCTGTCGTCAACTCATTGGTCCACTGTGTCTGGGGAGACTCGACAATGTACACTCCAATTCTCCCAGGCACCAAAGAGAAGGTCCCGTAACACTTCCATCTAGGACGTGAAGAACTCCTGTTTGGGGAGGGTGGTGAGGTCGTGGTCTCGGTTTTTTGTAGTAGAAACTCCTTACTCCTCTTTAGGTTCCATAACTCATCACTACTCCTCCGTGAAACCTATCCCAAAGTTTTCTTTCCAGAAATAATATATATATATGATATATGATATATAATTATATTATATGATATATAT